ATCTCCTTTCTGAGTAACAGTTCAGTAACTGAGGGATATGATTTGATGCTGTCTCATACTAAATCATGCTAATAAACACCCCTTTTCATTATTCACCCATGTTTACTAACTGATGTCTAAATTGTCATTGAGCCTTTTTACAATAAAATCCAAGTCCAATCCATATTTTATCCCTGAGTGCCTAAAATATTCTAAACACCATTTTATGAACACCATGAGATTAATGCCATTACGTCTGAAGTGAGACATGTAAATATTGCACCATATCTAGCCCTACAATATTATTACTTAACCACATTGCCTTTACCAAAAGTTAAAACAGAATAAAACTGACACCCTTTAGCTTCTGCAGCAATTAATTTCCTTCCTGACACAAACACACCATAAAACAGGATCAACTTCTGTCACATATCAAAATACAATGGCTAAATAAAACAGATCACAGTTCCAAAGAGCTGTGGGAAACAAGACATGCAAAACAACTTCTGTAACATACGGTATCAAAGGAAATGACAAAAAGTAATTATATATCAAAGAACTGGAAACACATTTCTTTACAAGCCATACTATCTATAAGACTTGGGAAACCCTCACAATGCTCTGCTTCACAGATCCAATGTGCTGCATTTATTAAGCTCAATAAAAACTGATTCTACACAAGACTGTGTCCTGCTCTTCTGATGAAGCATTTCCCACAACAACCTCCAGCATTCAGTTCATTATTATAAAATACAGCAAAACCTACATTATTTACAGTACATTTTAAAGAGATCTTGGACACTGACCTTATATTCCTCAGGTTTGAAGTCACATGGGGGCATTTTAGGAAGATTTTGTAGTGGGTAATTCTTGATAGACTGCTGACATACTGCACCTAATGAAAATAATATTAGCATTTCTGTCAAATCCATAACCATTAAAGAAATGGCAACTACAATGGACTGCCAGTTGTCATCTTAAACAATCGTGTACTGTGAAATTACAAGAGTGAAAGCACACAAATTTATCAAAATAAACTGTATTGCTAGAACAAAGAAAACCTGATCACACCTGAAGAGGGCTCAATAGTTTACAGTACAGGTAAATATGTTTTTCCCGACAGTATAACAAAGGTCACTTTCATATAACATTGTTCTTAATCATCTCTAAAGGTTTTTCTGAGTAGTGAGGCAGGATTAATAATATACTGTTTGAATGTTCCCAAACATATACCCATTGTATTGTACCCATACAATCCATTGAACATTGAACAGGTCTGTAATCTAACAAGGGCCCCTGCTTTATACATTCAAAGTCGAATTTACATTCCGGTTGACATAAAGTGAAAAAAGTTAGCAACGAAACTGTAATGATTGTTTTCCATGCAATATTTCTGCAACAGAAATTATTGTAATGGAAATTCATTGTTATGCTTGTTTCCGTTTAATGTTTTTTTTTTCATTTCTAAATCTTTACCATAAATGCTCTAGTGTAATTTAAACTGTGCAACAAGCTGTAACGGGCTGAGTATTAATTATGATCTTGAATAAGCTCACCAGTTAAATGATTGTGTGACATAATAAT